ACTCCTCCCGTGGGCTTTCAGAATATTAACCGAATTGACAGGATAGCGAGGCTGGCCCCTGACGTCTGTGTATTTAACTGCAAGCACAGCATCTACTACCATATTTGCGAAGAAATCCCCATTTCTAAGCCAACAGTTAAGGAGAACAAGAGACATGGAATGGACAATGTGTACAAAGCACACAAAAACCAGGGTAATTCATATACACTTCCTTGTAGCAATTTCATCAAAGAAACAAACATTATGCTGTCAAAATGCTGAAATATGATCTACTGCTACCTGCAATTCCTGTTACCAGTATACACTAGTGACTTTCCCCCTAGAAAAGCAGGAATGGGGCAGGCAATTTCAATACAGTATCACCCAGCACAAAAACTTAACAAGATCTTAGTCTAAACTTTACGGACCCATCCCAAGGATACATTCCGATGATTTTGGAAGACATTGATGTCTTAGCAGCATTGATCAGGCAATCTCTCCCGAGTTCATCCGTGTTAATAATCAGGTTTTCACTGATGTATCGCACAGCTTCCCTGTTCGAAGTGTGTGTGAGGAAAAGTTATAAATTCACTACTGAAACTTTATCACAGTGTCAAAACATCATAGGGACCGACTTTCTGTTCAGCCATTTCATATAGGAGGAGGACACAAATAAATCCTCCCTCTTCAGATCATGGCACGTTTAATCTATCCCATAAGCATAGCCACCAAAATCTATGATTGGGAGAAAATGTGGTAGTCAAATGGGAAAAAAGGATACTAGCCCTATTCTTACTCAAGTATTACTACTAAAATGTGACTTTTCCAAAATAAATTTAGTTTTTAGTAACACTTTAAGAACACAAACTTTTTATAAACCTAACACCAGAAAATGTACAATTTTCCCTGAAGGCAACCAATCTTACTTGCAAGCAAGTCGATAGCCACTAATAACTGACGTGGGATGAATCTTCTGTTTGACTAGTTCATCAGCATTTTTAAGAAGTTCTGCTGCAATAATAACCTGTTGAGAAAAGATTCGTTGCTCTGGTGGGAGTCTGACAACACGTGCTTATTTAAAAACATCATTGCAACAGTGGCCAGCTAGTATTAAATGGTGACCATGATGAATAGCTGGTTACTGGAAACCTGGGAAAAAGAGAACTACACATAGTGTTTTATTCAGATGCAAATGGCCAAAGCAAATAGGAGCCAGAAAACTGCTCTAATAAGCCAGTTCGGCTGCACAACCGCACAACGGCTGAGAAGTGCACGTCCGTTACCTATAAATAGGAAGTGCTCAACAGAGGCCAGTGAGGAGTGTGACGACTCTCATGATGCATACTTGTTCAGATTATTACTTGGTTTATTTTAAAAATCATTCTTCTAGGGGCACCTGGGTGGCTCAGTCAGTTAAGCGTCCAACTTTGGCTCAGGTCATGATCTCATGGTTTTTGAGTTCGAGTCCCACAATGGGGCTCTGTGCTGACAGCCTGCAGCCTGGAGACTGCTTCAGATTCTGCGTGTCCCTGTCTCTGCCGGTCCCTTGCTCACACTGTGTCTCTCTCTCTCTCGAAAATAAAACATTAAAAAAAAAAGTTTAAAAAATCATTCTTCTGAAGATATCACAAAACCAAAAATTCTGTCTGCTTCTTCTGGGAAAACTACAGTCACTTTGTTTTTAAAGTCATAGTAAAGTTATTTAGACAGAAAGTATTCTCATTATTCCAGAAGAGATAGATCCCATTCTATCATGATTTGAAGTTTAATCTAGAAATACAAAGACTTTCCCTACAAACCACACTGGCCTGTTCCTTTAGAGTGAATTACTTGTTCCTTACTAAATAAGTAATAGTGTTTCTACACTACACAGCATACTACATCAGCGTGCTGGATGACCTTTGAGAAATTTATATTGTTACTGATCACATTTATTTTCACACTCCCATTTTGAACTCCTGGGGTTCAAAATAAAAACTTTTTTTTTAAGCCAGTAACATTTCTTCCCCTAGAGAATGAAGAAGTTTTAAGAAGTTCTAAGTTTCAGGTGATGAGAAGATTTTCAATGAAACTATTTTGAACACCTTGTGTATGATATATAAACATTGTTGTGGCTGAATAATAATTTTTGGATAAATACTTTTGAAGACAATAATTAGAGATTCAAAATAAAAAAATTTTTTTAAGCCAGTAACATTTCTTTCCTAGAGAATTAAGAAGTTTTAAGAAGTTCTAAGTTTCAGGTGATGAGAAATTTTTCAATGAAACTATTTTAAACACCCTGTATATGATGTATAAATATTGTTGTGGCTGAAAAACTCAGGAAACTTGTGAAAATCCACATTTATTTTTAAATTATTTTGATAGAGAAAGCCCAAGTGGGATGGGGGGGGAAGGCAGAGAGAGATGGAGAATCCCAAGCAGGCTCCATGCTGCTGGCGCAAAGCCCCACTGGGATCCCAAGAACCATGAGATCAAGAGTCGGATGTGTGACTGAGCCATGGGGGGGTGGGGGTTGGGGCGGGCGGGCACGCACATGCTAAAAATCCACACTTAAGATAAATGGACTCCATCATCTCTTAAGTTTTTTTCCTTTAAATTGTACAAACTAGGAATACTGGTTTTCAAATTCTGTCTACCCCAGAAACAAAGTAAATTTTCTCCCCCTTAAGTATGTAACTTATTTCTGACTCAGAAACAAATGACTTACTTATAGTTTCACTTTGTGAAAGTCCATTTTAGGAGAACTAGTCTCTAGCCATCTACCAGGTAACAAACCACCTACCACAGACGTGGTTCCATCTCCCACTTCTTTGTCTTGCAGATCAGCGAGCTCACAAAGAACTTTAGCTGCAGGATGTTCTACCTCCAAAAGCTTCAGGATAGTGGCACCATCATTAGTAATGGTTACATCCTAATATATGTGCAAGAAAGAGAAAAGACACAATCACTTACAGACACAGGACACAAACCCGCATTACCACCTTTGCTGCACCTTCCAATACCAGCGATATGATAAAAACAGACAATTCACGTAATATTTATGAACCGTTATTTCTCTTTAAAGTAACAAACACGACACTTAAGTATACTTACACCAATATCATCCACCAACATTTTATCCAAGCCAACTGGTCCAAGAGAACTTTTTACAATATTGGCAATAGAAGCTGCTGCCATAACTGTAGAAATAAAAATTTTTTTAAAAAATGCACCGCTCCAAGTGACAACATTTCAGCCTAAAGAAAGAGACACCAACAGCCTCTGGATTTTCCAAAATCTACAAATCTTTCCGAATTACTAACAGCGGTTAGGATCGGCAAGCATCCCTGACTTCAAAAGCGTCCACGCTCTCAACGGCAACCAATGTCTTAATCCGTCTTGTTTGCTAGAACAACCTCCCTTTCTGTATTACTCGCACTAACGTTCAACTGAGATTTCATCAACCAACTTTACCGTAAAAACCTCGGTGATGGGTGGGTTAGGAATCGGATGTGGACATCCGGGCACCTGGCATCCACCGCAGATAATAACCAGCGGGGACAAGGGGGCAAGTCACCTGGACTGTGGCCATTTGCTCATCCGTACAACCAGCGGTTGAAACCAGCGTTTTCTGGCTAACACCCCGAAAACGAGGCCCAAAGGTTGAGATACACGCTCCTTCCGCTCAGAATCGGAACATACGAGGCGCCGGGCACCGGGACCAACGGGCCTCGGGGCGTGGTCGGCACGTTGTCAATGCGGGCGGCGGAGACAGTTCTCCAAAACGTGCCGGGCTCTCCGAAAACCCTCCCCTACGGGAACAGAGGGCGCCGCCACCCCGCCCGACCCCGCCAAGATGAGACCCGGCCCTTTCCCGGGCACAGATAAGGAACGCGCAAGCCCCGCAGCCCCGGCCCGAGGGGGGCGGGCCGGGATGGGGTCGGGGGGCCGCCCCGCCGTGGGCCCGGCCGACGCCGCGTTCGCCCCTACCGTTCTGGGAGCGGATCGCCTCCCCGGTGCTGCGGTCTCCGAATACGGACAAAGGCCCCTCCATCTTGGCGGCGGCGTGCACGTCGAGTTTCAGTCTCACCGCGGGGAACCAGCGTCTGGGTCCCTACGCCCGGCGGCGGCTAGAAGGACGGTGGCGGCTACGGCGTGGAACGGGCCGTGCGAGGCCGCGGAGACTGCTGGGAACACCGCTCCCCTAGCCCGGCCGCGGGGCAGGGCGGGAAGGAAAGGAGGAGAGGGAGGGGAACGAAAAGTGCCAAAGAGCAGGAAATGGGGAGCCAGAGAGGGCGGGTTCGGCGTGTTCGCCCAATTAGAAAGCGACTGAGAGGGGCGCGAACGCAGGAGAATGGAAGTCAGGCTCTCGGACTGGGGGAGGAAGGAGGTGCTCGGCTGAAGATGCTCCCCCCGTCTCCCCCAGCCAGGGGTTGCGCGTGCGCATTTGCACATTCTAGTGCCTTCTAGAAAAAGTGGACGGCGGGGCGGAGCTTGTATTGGAGTGTAACTAGAAAGGGCGGGCCCTTCGGGGTACAACTGTGCTACGGAGTGTGGCCTGTTCGCTTATTTAATGGTCTCGTTCTCGTCAATGTAGGAGCTTGCTCGGAGAGCCCGCGGCGGGTGACGGGCCTGGTTCCTGCGCTCACGAGCGTAAGCTTGGGGCCTGGGACCGGGTGAGACGGGGCACGAGTGTTCCATGGGCCATACGGGGAAAATGACAACCACGGCTTCTGAAAGGAAACTCCATCTTGCGCTGCCCAGTTTTCTCCATTGCTCAGCGGGGCTGTATGTGGGTCCGACAACGATCAGCCGAGGCTTTGCGACTGAAGGACTCCTATACGGCAACGCGAAGCGACTCGTGCCCGCGACTCTAGCTAAAACCCTCGCCTCACTTAGCGCGTTGCGCCCCGCCCCCAGGCGCGCTCCAGCGTCACGTGCATCTCAGCCTAGGCGGTGATTGGAGGAGCTAAGGTGACAGACGGCCCTCTCAGCCACTCGGCGGAGGGGTTTGTTAGTTCCGGGTCGAGGTGCTGGTGACCTCCGGAACCCAAACCCTTTTTCCTGAGTTAATATGGCTGCGACCTGCCAGCGGCTGGGACCTTAGTGAGGAAAGGACGCGACGCTTTTCCGAGGCTTGTGCTCAGGATCCCTCAGCGATGGCGCTCCGGTCGCGGTTGTGGGAGTGTCTGTCGGCCTGCCGGAACCGCGGTAATTCCCACGTCTCTCAGCTAACTCCCTAGGGGATGCACAGTAAGTGTGCATATGCAAGTCGTGACTTCTATTCAGCACAGCCCAGGCTAACAGCATGGTGATGACAGTAGTAGGAAATCAAGAACCAGGATCTGTGGTGACTGTACTCTCTGCCCAGACAGGTTACTTTTTCTCTCCCGGGGAGCGAAGATTCGGGGAATGGATGGGGATAGAAGTTAGATCACTTTCCATTTTTGTCCCTGGTTGTCATTTTTTAAGATACATGCGGTGGTTTCCATTCTTAGGGTGTGGGGTCGCAGCCCTCTCAACCAGTTCCAAGCCTGCGGCGAAGCCTGGAGCGGACCCTCTGGAAAATGAAGCCGTTGCGCCAGAGTTCACCAACCGGAACCCGCGCAATCTGGAGCTCTTAGCTGTGGCCAGAAAAGAGCGGGGTTGGGGGACAGCGTGGCCCTCCCGCGAGTTCTGGCACAGGTAATCACGTCGGCCAGGTGATTGACCGACGGAGCGGTGCACGATGCCCTACAAGTTGTTTTCATCAATTCAGTTAACCTGGTAGATACTACTGGGGATTCTCTTCTTAGGAAGCTGCTGTTCGGTGGTGGAGGAGAGGTTAGCGGAGAGGGAAATGGGCTTGGGGGGGGGGGCAAACAATGTCTGGGAGAAAATTTAAGGACAATGATGTTAGAATGGGGAGGCCGGTTGCCTGCTAAGGCTCCTTCTAAAGGATAGGGAGAAGACAGTCTGCCAGGAAGGGCATTCGCAGCAGAGGAAATGGCTATGGGCTGGTGTGTTGGAAGAACTAAAAGTTTGCGTGGAGCTCAGCGTGCAAAGGAGTGGGTAGTGTAAGGTGGACGTGGAGAGGTAGGTAGGAGAACCATCATTAAGGCTGTAAATTGAAGTAAGCAGTTCACGATTTCTTTTCAGGACAGTGGAAAACTACGAGAGGGTTTAAAGTTTGAGCTTGAATTAAAGGTCATTTTGGTTGCTTTGGGGAGAACAAATTTCTAAGGGGGCAGGGGAGAAGCAGAAAGACAAGTTCGTTGAGTCTGTTCTTTGTTATAAAGGTGGTTATGTATTGAACGGTTTGTATTTGCCAGGAAGTACGTTAGTTGCCTTATGTACGTTTTCTCATTTAATCCTTAAAATTACTTTATGAAGCAGGTGCAGTAATTTCCTCCATTTTACAGGACCAAGAGTATTGAGGCATAAGGGGACAAGGTTACTAAGCGCCAGAGCTAGGACTCAAACATGTTTGGTCTCACCTAGGAGCCAGGCCACTATAAATTTTTACCACTGTGCTGCTTTATTTTATCTGCTGATTCACTTAGTAAGCATTTGTTAAAGGGAAATGTTTCTTAAGGAGGCCCTAAAATTGTAGCAGGAGGTTAGAAATCGTATCTGTGATATCATTCAACGATCATGAGGCCTGTGGCGTTTCATAGGCATTGTGCTAGCTGCAAGAGATGCAACGCTAGAGTGGATGTCATCCCTGTCAGCAAACGTTTTCATGCGTTCATAGCGGAAGGTGGAATGGGGATGAGTGTTACAGTTGTTATGCATTGTACTTAGTGTACCTAGGGAGGCATCAAAGGAGGAAGGCAGATAACTTTTGAATCTCGATCTTAAGTCAAAAAAGCTTTTGAAACACCAAACTTAATTACTTCCAATATTTGGATTATTTAATTTATTAGAGATCTATTTTCCCACCTTTTTGTTGTTGTTGTTGTTCTATCTGCCATATCCACAGTGCTAATCAGTATAGAATTTTAGTACATTATAGTAGGAAGTGACCTTAGAGATGAGTCCTCTGCCTTTGTCAAACCAGTGGTTTAAGATGAGGATCAGCAGGGGCGCCTGGGTGGCTCATTCGGTTAAGTGTCTGACTTTCGCTCAGGTCCTGATCTTGCGGTCCGTGAATTCAAGTTCCGCGTCGGTACTGTGCTGACAGCTTGGAGCCTGGAGCCTGCTTTGGATTCTGTGGCTCCCTCTCTCTCTGCCCCTTTCCTGTTCTTGCTCTGTCTCTCAAAAATAAATAACCATTAAAATTTTTTTTTAAAAAAGGTAAGGATCAGCAAACTATGGCCCACTCTTGATTTCAGCTCAGGTCATGATCTCATGGTTGTGAGATTGAACCCTGTATCGGGTTCTGCACTGAGCGTGGACCCTGCTTGCAATTCTCTCTCTCCCCTGCTTGCTCTCTTTCTCTAAAAAAAAAAAAAAAAATTACAAATCCTTTAGCACAGCATGTACACTGTTTTTCATCTGAATCCTCCCTGCCCCCTTCAGAGTACATCTTAGAATTCCTTTGTGTTGGTTAAGAACATGGGCTCTCAAACCAGCCCCTTGGACCGAAATCCCAGCTCCATTACTTACCGTTAGTTGTAATCTTGCTAAAGTGACATAACTTTTCTGTGTCAGTATCTATGACCTGAAAACAAAGCAAAACCGAAAAGAACTGATTGAGATTATTTTGAGACGCGAGCTACACCTGAAAAAGGACTGTGCCTGCCACAGTAGGTGCTCCGTAAATGTCAGCAGCCTCGTCAAAAAGTGCTGCTTCGTGCTGGCACCCATATAGAATACCACTGCATGGGTGTTTTAGTTGGCTGGCTCCACGTTGATGATTACTGTAATGATTCCAAACAGGATTGCAGTGAATTGTTTTTTTCATGCACTTGATCAGTGAGGTCAGACATGTTTGGGCCCAGGGGTCATTAATATTTTCTATTTCTGTGAACAGGCAGTTCAGGTTTTTTGCTTAAGTTATTGGTCATTTTCTTACTGGTTATAGGAGGCTTTTTACATATGGAAATTACCCCTTTGCATAATTTGTGTTTAAAGTATTTTTAGTTTCTAGCTTACCTTTTGGCTTCAGTTTACTGGGTTTTTTTAACTGCAGAAAAATTTGTCTTTATAAAAACTAGATAACATGGTTCGATGTATTTAAATTGGCTTACTTGGAGATTGTAAAAAAAAAAAAAACCCTACCTTCTAGTATTTTTATGATTTCAGTTTTTTACATTCAAGTCTTTGATCAATATTTTGGTGTTAGTTGGTAAGTAGAGGCATAGAAATAAGTGTATCCTTACTTATTGTAAGGTCACAGTTTAGCTCTGCCTCCTTACATCCTTTTTTTGAGGTAGCGGCTGTGTAAATAATTCTCACTTTTCAGAAATCCCAAGTTTCTGCTGGATATTTTAGGTGTTAAGTGGAAATATTCGGTTTATGTTTATTGAGGATGTCCTCACAAAGGCAGAGGACAAACACCTTTCCCAAGTAAAATCCGGGTTCAGTGTGTTGACGTAAATGAAACAGATACTACGTTCTTGAGAAACACTTGGCATGTATTCACCTGAGGCTTTTTAATCTTTAGGGTCCTTTTACTATGTTCCTCTTTTTCTCATCTCATTTAGGTTGCGAGTTATAAAGACTCAGCATCATGTGGACGCACTTGTGGAGCATCGCAGTGGCCAGGTCGTGGTTTCGGCATCCACTCGGGAATGGGCCATTAAAAAGCACCTGTACAGCACCACAAACGTGGTGGCCTGTGAGAGTGTCGGACGGGTGCTGGCAGAGCGGTGCTTAGAGGCAGGAATCAACTTCATGGTCTACCAGCCCACCCCGTGGGAGGCAGCCTCAGACTCGGTATTTTGGTTTCCATGTATTTATTTAGAAGGTTTTCATTCCTGATGTCAGGTGCTTACTTAGTAACCGTAGTTGCGTTTATCAAGTTCTTTCCACGTGGGAGATGCGGAAGTGGGTCTCCTGACCTGCGTAGTGGCCCAGAGGCTCAGGATTAATATCCCCTGTCCCCTGCACAGGGAACCAGAGTCAGTGCAGGGGCACTGGTCTACAGCCACGATGTCAACCATTCTACTTCCCCGTTCATATGTTAATCTCTCACTTGTATAATGAAACACTATTAGTCTTTGATGTCTCCAAAGTTTCTTATAAGATCGCTTTCTGAAAAATCAGTGTAGGCTTGGAAGTTAGCAAGGAGCAAGTCAGCTGTTCCATTTCTCTTTCCCTTGAGATACGAGAAGCGCTGTTTATTATCTGCTTACTTACTGTGCTGACTTAATTTTCTCTGCTCTTCGAAACCAGATGAAGCGCCTACAGAGTGCCATGACAGAAGGCGGTGTGGTGCTGCGGGAGCCCCGGAGAATCTATGAATGAACTAGAAGCATTGTTCTGAACGTCTGAATGTGAAGCTGTGAGCTGTCACCTCCTTCAGAAGAGAGCATCTGGAAGAACAGGCAGCTTGGGAGTTTTGTACAATCACCTAACAGTGGACTCTTATTACCAGTTAAGAAGGTCATCCCTTCCTGCCTTTGTGTGTGTGTTTTGTTGTTGTTTATCAAGGGCGAACGTCTTCTCTTGGCCAGAAGTACCTGAGAAAAGGTGTTGCCAATTATAATTAACTTTCGAAGGACAAATTAAGTGTTGTTTGTAAGTTAAAGAATAAACGCATATTGCGAACACTTTCTGGTTAAATGAATTTTTTTCTTTGCCTTTGAGCTCACTGCTGCAAGAGCACACACATGAGGTTTATGCAAACTGCTTGTTACCACGTCCTGCTCATAGTGGGTAATCTCCATAAACGATGGCCGTTGCTGCTCAGAGTGTGGACCTTTTTTTTTTTTTTAAATAGGGAATGCCTGTATCAATTTAGTATAAACAGCCTTAGTGCTTAGAAAGGGGCAAACCCTAACCTCAGCTGGGCTCTGAAACACTAACCTGCAGAAGCGGACTTGAAAGAAGAAAGCTCAGTGGGGAACTGACGCAGAGGTGGAACGGAGCGGGGCTGGTGTGTATTTGCCACTGAGGGAGTGAGTGTTGGATAGAAGATGAAGCTTGAAATGCAGTCATTTAACCTAACATGATGCTGAGAAGGTGGGAGCCACGCAGCTCTCTCACAGGAGTGGATTAAGTCAAAGTAAGGGGTTAAGTGCTTCTGGCTATTTAAGGTGTGAAGAGGAAGAATGTGTCAGCTTAACTAGGTGGTTTCTAGAGCATTTCCTCCCAGTTTTTAAGTGTGTATCCCAATTACATATACAGAATTGAATTAATGTTACTATTTCCAATCTGAGTATTTGGTAAGTTGTTGAAAAAAGATACGTATGCACCAACATTTTTAAAAAGTATGATTGGTTCACCAACATTTTTAAAAAGTATGATTGGTACTGAGAGGCCTTCAAGGAAAGGACCAGTGGCTTTGGAAACTGACAGTGGACAAAAATTGGGTTCACCTGGAAGTGACGCTATGGGTGGGTTTTTTTCCCCCTGCAAGGAATAGGTGGGGTTATTTTTTCCTGCAAGGATGGTCCCAGAATCCTCTCTGCACCAAAGATTGCTTCAATTGATGGGCAATTCTTGAGGCTTTTTGTGGCAAGTTTGATAGACGGTACTGTAAAGGATGATGCAGAGTGAAGTAAAACATGGGGCGAGGCGGGTGGGGACGGGGACAGCTCAATATGGCAGGCCAAGTGCGAACCAGTGTTGCTCTCAAAGCAAATGAGAGGTGGTCCCGCCACCGCGCCGCAGCTGCTGTCACGACCCACTTACCGCGGTTCCTCCAGGTGCTGTCTACTGGCCCGTTTTCTCCCTCGGGCACTATTTTCTCCCACCACCCGGCCTAATAACCTGTCTGCGACCCCTGTCTGCGATCTGCAGCAGCAAGCAAGGGAAACGGGCTTTGGCCGGAGGGCGGGGTCCAGGCGAGCCCCGCCCAAGGCCGAGGTGTAAAAGCGGACACCTGTGGGCGGGCAGGTGGCGGGGGTGGCCAATCGCAGGCTCCTTGGCCGCCCCTTCCCGTGCGAGCCCCTTAAAGCGCCGGCGCAGCGGAAGCGCGTGGCAGCACGTGCCCGCACCGGGCGCCCTCGGCCGAGCTCCGTGGCCATGGACGTGGGCGCCGACGAGTTCGAGCAGAGCCTCCCTCTGCTGCAGGAGCTCGTCCTGGGCGCCGAGTTCGTGGGTAAGGGCGGGGATTCCGGGCCCTGTGGCCGCATCCCTCTGGCCGGTGCAAGCCTCCGCAGGGTGTGGCCTGGGAGGGACAGGGGGCAGAGAGGTGAGGCCCAGCCTGGACGGTCGCCGGGCCGCGGGAGGCTCAAAGAAGGCCCTCCGACGGTCAGGGACATCCCTTCTGGGGCCTGGGCGGTGGGACGTTAGGCAGCAGTTATGTCCTTGGTCGCATTGTGGTCCAGCTGGAGCGATGAGTGATGTGGCTTTGTCCTTGCTTTGGCTTTCTCCTTTCTGTCTTCTTGACCCCACCTGGCGTCTTGAGCCAAGTAGCTCACCCCCTGCAATATTTACACGAAGAGCCAGGCAATGGTCTGCGTCTGGGTACTCTTGTCTTCTTTTTTTTTTTTTTTTTGTCTCCCCTGCAGGTCTGGACATAGAGTTCACAGGCCTTCGGTCTAATCTGTCCCGGCCCCAGCAGATCAGGTAAAGCCAAAGCTGCTTTACAGCTGAGCTAGGGAGGGGCTCACCTGTGCCCTTCCGACTGGTGTTCTAGCCACTTGTGCATGCTTTCTCTGCAGGCACCTTGCTGGCATGGGGGGGGAGAGGGCGGGGCGGGCAGTACGGCGCTTTGTGTGGGGGATCTGGGGACCTGGTCTTTGTCCACTGTGTGCTGGGAGTATTCAGTACTTGTTACCAGGAAAAGTGCTGCCTCTGGTTTAGAGGTGCTGATCCAGAGTGGGGGCTGGGGCGTCTTCACACCATCTCCTTGCCTGTGGAATGAGATGCCCGTTTTTCCCCAGCCTGTTCGATTTGCCCTCCGAGTGGTATCTAAAGACCCGGCAGAGTGTTCAGCAGTTCACAATCTGTCAGATAGGTGAGTTTACCCTTCAGCTGTGTGCTGCGCGTTACTGAGGGAGGGTTTGTATCGCCTTTGTGTTCCCTGCTGGTAAAACAGCTTTGACTCCTTTCAGAGATGCTGGCTTCGGTTTTAGCCCTGTTGTGCCTGGGGGGGGCCTAACACTTGGGAACAAGCAGAAACTGAATTTTAGCTGCACTGTTCCCGTGCCTAAATAGATCGACATTAGGAATCTGTACCATCTCTCAGGGGGAAAATGTGTATGGTTTTTGCTTAAAAACCTACAGGATGCAAGATCATGTTATAAAGCATCTTGCTATGCAGCTTGTCTTTTTCACTGATGGGGTTTAGAGATCTTTCTATATCAGCATAAACAGATTTCAGTTCATTTTTAACAGTCACATAGTGTTCCCAGCTGATGTCTGGATTGACTCAGTCTCCTTATGATGCGTTTTACGACCGTTTGTGTGTAATCAAACAAATTATAGTAACTGTCCTGGTATTTGTGGGTGTGTTTGGTATACTACCAGTGGTGGAGTCGTGGAGTTAGTATGTGCATAAAAGTGTGACCTTGGGTGGCCAAACTATCCCTTTCCTACCAGCCATCTACAGAATTTATACTGACTTCTACTAAAGCACTGAACGTGCCTGGTCTCCTCACTTGTGCTGGGTAAGATCGAGCTTCACTTTTTTGCCTGCCTGGTAGAGGAAACATCTAATTGTTCTACATCTTATTTAAAAAACAATTTTTTTTAATGCTTTATTTCTAGGAGAGAGAGACAGTGTGAGCAGGGGAGGGTCAGAGAGAGAGGGAGTCACAGACTCTGAAACAGCTTCCAGGCTCTGGGCTGGCAGTCAGCACAGAGCCCGACGCGGGGCTCGAAACCACGAACCGCGAGATCATGCCCTAAGTGAAAGTCGGACGCTTAACCGACTAAGCCACGCAGGTGCCCCTAATTGTCCTACATTTTAATTACTGGGTTAACACCCCTTTTCTGTAAAGGGGTAGGCAATAAATCTTTCCGGTTTTGCAGACTGTGTACATGGTCTCTGTTAGAACCGTTATTCTATCATTACTAATGGGAAGTTAGCCAAAGATAGTATATAAATGAGCATGGTATATTTCAATACAGTTTCATTTACCAAAAGTCTTGACACAGATTTTACTGACCCTTGGTTTTTCTATGCTGAGCATCTGTGTGTGTTCTCCATCCTTGTCCTTTGCTATTTTTCTGTTGTGTTTTTTTTCTTAACTATAAGTCCTCTTCAAAAAGCATAGGAAACTGCACGTAGGTCTGCTTCTGTTGTCCTCCCCTATTTGAAGCCTTCATTTTGTGTAGTATTTTTAGCAATGCAGGCATTTTAAAGCCATTCACTGTATAAATCTGTTTTTTTAAAGCATTTCTTCTAGTTGGTTTTAAAACCGGAAAAATATCAATATTCTGCGTTTGAAGAATGAGTCACAATTATATTTTAGTTATTTCAGTGTGAATTGCAGTTTGAGAGCTCTCCTGTTTTGGAGAGTTTATCTTATTCCAAGGTGCACAGAGTATCTTTAGGTGCAAAGTACTGTTCACAGTGTTTCCTTTCTGCAGCTAACTTTTGAGAGCTTTTCTTGGGTGCTCACTCTCCCTGCTCTCCTTCTAGGATTGTCCGTGTTCTCCAGTATTGAAGGAGAGTCTAACAAGTACGTGTGAAGACCTCTTGCAGGTTACCTGGCTCTCGTGCACTAATCTTCTCCACCTGCTCCCCTCTGTCTTCCGCCCCGGGCTCTGAACCACTTTGGCCCTGGACGGTCCCTGTTCTCTGCTTTTGTGCCCTTCTGCCCCGCTGTCCCCTGCAGTTCTGGCTGCTCCAAGTCTCCTTGGGACAGCGTCTCTTCCGGGGGCCTTTCCTGGCACATCGGTGCCCCTCCCCCTGTGTCTGTGAGCCTTCAGGGTAGTTCTAACCAGGGTGATGTGACTCCCAGGCACCAGCAGGCAGAAAGTGTTCAGACCGGTGGGCTCTGGATGGGGGTGGATCCTTCCCCGAGGGCAGGATCTCTGCCTTTTTCCTTTGGCCCCAGTGCAGCCAGGAGTACTAGAAACGGCCAACATTCAGGTACTTCTCAAATGAAAGAAGAAATTCGCTCAGAAGTCTGCTCTGTGGGCTAGAATTAAAAAAAAAAAAATGTTTTTGGCTCTTTCTTAATGTTTATTTTTTTTATAGGTATGTAGCCCACTCGTGTAACTTCTTTCTCTTCCCTACGACGTTTGGGGTTTTGGATTCAGAGTTCTCTTTCCAGGCTTCCAGCGTCCAGTTTCTGAATCAATATGGCTTCGACTACAACAAGGTGTGGCAGCAGAGAGGGGAAAGGGAGGTCTTTTTTTTTTTTTTTTTTAAAGCGTAATAATTTGTAATAAGAGCATAAGTGGGGGAGGGGCAGAGAGAGACTCCCAAGCAGGCTCCACACTGTTACCGCAGAGCCTGACAAAGGGCTCGATCCTATGAACCACGAGATCATGACCTGAGCTGAAATCAAGAGTCAGATGCTTAACCAACTGAGCCACCCAGGTGCCCCAGAGATAGGCTTTAAAGGTTCTTTGGTCTAGCTGGGCTGAGTCTCATTTCATGTGCACATTAGACTGGACGCAAGGGTTGCTTTTCTGTCTGCTCCCCCTGCACAGAGGATGCCTCCACTAATCTGCTGTTCTTGTCTAGTTTCTCAAAAATGGGATCCCATATATGAATGAGGAACAGGAGAAGAAAATCAAACACAACATCCTGACTGGGAACTGGAGAATTCGCAGGTAAAGCCCGTTTCTCCAGGTGCTTTGTGGGTTTCTCTGTTTGCTGGTGTTTTTCTGCGTTTCCCGTGGGTAGGTGCACTGGCTCTAGAGCACAGTGACCTCACGCCATCACCGTCAGCTGGGGTGGCTTCAGCAGCATGCGATCAGCCGGATGCAGTGGCTCAGAGTGTCGGTGGTTCGGCTCCCTCGCCTGCGATGAGAGCCCTCTTGCTGCATCAGGTATGCTCCCAAGGGCTGTGTCTCTGCCTCTCTTCTTTGGCCCCAGTGCCAGCTGTCCTTCTGGAAACCCATAATGCCCCAGAGCTGGGCCAGGAGTGATGGAGTGACAGCAGCGCGTGGTCACCTGGGGCCCAGACAGGCCGTGCGGTCAGTTGTATGGAACTCAGTCATTTCAGCAATTTGAGCTGTAGAATCTTTGCCTTTATCAGGAGGGGGCTTAAGTTAGACCAGTTTTAGCTCTGGAATATTCTGATTATTGGGTCCAGATAACTGTGTAATATCGGAGGTGGGTTTGTTTTTGTTAAGCTCTATGCCCAAGGTGGAGCTTGAACTCACAACCCCAAGGTCAAGAGTTGCATGTTCCCACCGACTGAGCCTGCCAGGTGGCCCTGGAAATCATGGGGTTTCCCCCCCCCAAAAACCTTATTTATGGCTTTTCGTATAAAAATGCAGCTTTTTGAAAAGCAATTTGAATTTATAACCGTCTGTTATTTTCAAATGTTGGAGAAGAGTCTTTCTTATCTCAGAATAACATCGTGTTCTTGTATTGCTGACATGGGAGAAGATGCGCTTACCGAAGTGCCTGTCTTTTCCTTCTGTCACCAGATGGTACTTTTTCACCCCGAAAGCTGAATTAAATAGGCCTGGCTGGAGCGCTTAGCGCTGGCTCGCTCCCAGGACCTTTCCTGCCAGTGAGGCAGAAAAGGAGGGCCGTGCCCCTGCGAGTGTATGGGAGAGCGCAGGCCACGCGTCTGGCTTTCTGTTGCTGAGCAAGGCTCAGAAAATCGTTCCTTTTTGGTCCGCTTTGTTGCCCAGATCACCGTGCTAAAGCTGGCGTCCTCCGAACCCCAGTTCCTATTCACGTTGTCCTGAGGGTCTGTCCTTCCCATGGTTTCCTCCAACCTCGTTTCCGTGTGCCTGCTTTCAGTTCTCTGGATAAAGACCAGATCAAGGTGGTGATTGATGAGGTGACCCGGTGGCTGGACCTGGCACAGGAGGGTGACTGGATGACTCTCCCTGGGATTGCTGGTAGGCAGGAGGCTGCTCCCCGAGCCTGGGAGTGTGGGGGCGGGTCCCCGTCAGCTGTGGGGGCCCAAGCGGGGAGGAGACCCTCAGTCCCGTGGATACTGGGCATCAGCTCAGCAGGTATGTCATCCTTGGGGTTAGATCAAGCTCTGACCTCAACTCAGAAGCTGGAGACTTTTTGACTGATTTTTTTAATTTAATGTTTTATTTATTTCTGAGAGAGAGAGAGGCCGCATGAGAGAGAGGCCGCATGAGAGAGAGGCCGCATGAGAGAGAGGCCGCATGAGAGAGAGGCCGCATGAGAGAGAGGCCGCATGAGAGAGAGGCCGCATGAGAGAGAGGCCGCATGAGAG